ATGTGACAAATAGAAAGTGGTTTGTATGTCATATTATCATCCATGTGTAGATAGATATAATTAAAAAATCTATTAGTTACGATATTAAAATAGATATAAATATTAGTTACGATATTAAAATAGATATAAAAATAGAAACCAGGAAGTGTAAATAGATATAATTAAAAAATCTATTAGTTACGATCTTTAGTATATTTTAATTTCCAAAACTTCAATCATAAACATTTCAAAAACACCATAAACATTTATTTGAACAAAATTTAGTGAAGGTTAAAGAGCTTTTTATTTTCTTTTTCTTATAAACCGTGAGAATTTTGGATCTTTGGTCTATAATCATCCATGTTGTATGACATCTGTTTTAAATTACTTCTCTTTTCAAATGGATTTGAACTAAGGTTCTCCTATCTTAAAAAAACACTTGATATTAATAAGCTTTTCGTAAACCAAAATGAAACTGTTTTATTTTTAGAAAGAAAATAAAACTGTTTTTAGAGAAAACAAAGGTACAAACAACTCTAAAGCATTTTGCAGATAATTATAAAATGTTTTCCAAAGTACACGGACAAACAGAAAGTTACATTTAGGGAATCGCAAACGGAAATGCAAATGGAAACACAAACATTAAACCATTACTGGACCATGCTTTTGTTCTTCTAAAACAACATATAGTAAAATTGAACATACGTTTAAATCATGTGTAGACAAATATATATGAGACAATTACAAAAATGCCACTTTTTATATGCACATTTGCAAGAATGCCACTTAGGAGTGTCCATTTACAAAAATACCACTAATTATAGATTTATAAAACATATATCTTAAAATTCTAAACCCTAAAAAATGTTTTGACCCCTAAAACCTCCTAAACCTTCATAACTAAACCCTAATAGAACACAATTAACCCAACCATAAATGATATAAAGAAAAAATAATTTTGAAAAAGTGGTATTTTTGTAAAAATTTTAAAAGTGTGGTATTTTTGTAAAGTGGCACTTGAAAAGTGGCATTTTTTGAAATTTCTCAATATATATACAAACGTGTGTAACCTTTGGCCTTGGCGACACCGACTTGAGAAGAAAGACATAGAAGCAAAGATATAAGAAGAGCAATAACATATGATTTCTCTTTAGTCATTTTAACTGATTGTGTTTGTTACATTGCATGAATAAAATGGTATTTATTAATACAGAGCATTGGACTCACCACTATACCAAATTCCAATTGTAACGCGCTTATTTGTACCTTGTACTGTTGTACACTGACTAACGACTTAAGATATCTGCCATACTTAAGTTTTGCTATCCAACAAATATTCAAGACTTTGGAGTCCTCTTCTTGTTTTGATGCATGGTCTAATTGTTCCAAACACAATTATTTGTGTTTGTTAGTCAAGAAATTTTGTTAATCTTCAAAATTATACACAACGTTATTTTACTGTGTTTTTTTTAATCAAACATACTTTTGAAAATTACAAGTGCACACACACACAAACAAACTAATCAATAATAATTTCATGTGTAACGTTACAAACTCGGTTCGACCAACCATCCAATGATGTCGAGTCTGTGTTACGCCCGGTTTTCAAAACATTGCAATTTACTTAGCTAAGATATCATATTCATATTACAATAAAAAGATAAATTCATAAGATGGAGAGATTTAGTTATGAAGTAAAATTCACTTTTTTTTTCTTTTTTTGTGGGAGTAATTAAATGTACAATTTGGTCTTCAAGAGAAGAATGTAAAATGATATTGACAAAACAAAAAGAGTAACACAACAAGGAGAGTAATGATGACGAATAATTTACAAGCGGAAGAGTGAGAAGAAGCGTGAGAACATGAAGCCCTATATGCAAGATTTGTCTAACCTAAATTACAAGTGGTGTGTTAGAACATCTCCAATATAGTGTTAGGTTTTATTCTAATGTATTACACCATATTTTACATAAAAAATATTATAAATATATTCCTTTTAAAGTTTGGAACAATTGTAAAAATGTCATTTTTAGTGTGTTCATTTCCAAAAATACCATTATGGATAGTCCATTTTCATAAATACCACTAATTAAAGATTTTTAAGCCATAAATCTTAAAATTCTAAACCCTAAAAAATGTTTTGACCCCTAACAAACCAGAAATCCTCAAAACTAAACCATTATACAACATTGTTAACCGAAATATAAATGATATATTGAGTAAATGATTTTGAAAAAATGTCACTTTTGAAAAGTGGCATTTCTCAAAATTTTCTTAAAATTTACAAATTAACCCATCTATTTCATTTCAAGCTTAATGAATTATGAAATAATTTAAATTTAACAATTATCATAAAAAATACATTACATCATAGAAAATAACAAAATATATTAGATTTTGGTTTAATCATCATCAAACATATTAGATTTGGTTTAATCATGGCCATTTATATATGTATTCCATCAATTTTGTAACTAATTAAAGTTTGAAGAACCTCCTTATAAATAAAAAGGTTCAACACCAAAAAATGGTGTGATCTCATTTCTTACACCATATTTGATGTAAAAAATGATGTAACACTATTTTGGTGTTAGAAATGATGTTGGGTCGGAAAAGATTTTACACCAAAATGAGATTTGGTGTAGGGTAGAAGATGCTCTTACAATGACGCTATGTCCAATCATCTTATTATATAAAGGAGAGGCGCACGATGAGAACGTGACACGTAAG